GAAGTTCACTGAGATACAAACACCAGGGAGTAGTTCAGCTTGCAAGGCAAGTAGCTTAAAACCTGTGAGTGCCAGCACACAGAATCATAGAATGGTTTGGGTCGGGAGTAACCTTAAATACCACCTAGTTTCAACCCACCTGCCATGGGCAAGGACACCTTCCAGTAGACCAGGTTGCTCATAGCCCCATCCAGCCTGGTCTTGAACACTTCCAGGGAAGGGGCACCCAACAAGATCTCTGGGCAATGTGTCCTGGTGTCTCACCACCCTCATAGTAAAGAGATTCTTTGTAACAACTAATCTAAACATGCTCTTTTTCAGTTTAAAGTCATCACTCCTTGTCCTGTCACTACATTCCCTTGTAAAAAGTTCCTCTTCAGTTTTCTTGTAGCCCCACTTAGGTACTGAAAGGCCACAATAAGGTCACTCCAGAGCCGTCTCTACTCCAGGCTGAACAGACCCAACTCTCCCAGCCTTTCCTCACAGGAGAGGTGCTCCAGCCCTCTGATCATCTCAGTGACCCTGCTCTGGACTCGCTGTAACAGGTCAGTGTCCTTCCTGTGCTGATGACGCCCCAAAGCTGGATGCAGCACTCCAGGTGGGGTCTCACTAGAGCGGAGTAGTGTGGTACAATTCCCCACCCTCGACCTGCTGGCCACTCAGGATACAGCTGGCTTTCTGGGCTGTGAGCTGTGCTCATGTCCAGCCTCTCACTCACCAGGTGGAGAGACAGATTTACCTCCTAATATGATTGTAAAGTCCCAGCCACATGCAACTTGTTTTACACAAAAGCCAGACAGGGCAGTGCACAAAGTAAAGTGCAGCACATCCTCTGTATGATTCAGTCCCAGCTGCCCATCTTTGTTATGGCCACATACAAAGAGTTGTCCCGCACCTGGAAGAAAAAAAAAAAACAAAACAAATTTGTGTTCCACTTCACAAATTGAAAAGAGAAACATACATCCATGAGATCCTGTGACAAATAAGGATAGTGATTATGTGTCACTTTAGGCACTACATTCAAGCAAAAAGTAACAGAAACAGGTGTTTCTGATACTTCTCAAACTCTCTGAATCATTATACCTATGGGAGAGCTGGGTTTGTCAAGGGAGACAATTCATATGGTAAGACAGGCACCTCTCAGTGTAAGATGCATGGTGAACTTTTTTATCACATTCACATCTGTCTGTATTACTTCTTTCCCATAATCAGCTGTGGCACAGAGCAGAACCTTTCAAAGACCAGATGTTGTCTTCTGCTCCTTACTGTAATACTTCTCGAGAGTGAATAACCTCTCACTTCACTCCTCCCTCCCACTCCCCTATCCGTAACAGAGAAAATTTGGCTTCCTTGTATGAAAAGCTGTTATATGAAACAGATCAAGAAATAGACCTCCCAAGACACAAAATAACTACACAATATATAAAAAACAAAATTTCCCCAATTTCCCAAAATACTGAATTAATTGCCGGGAGGGGAGGAACCTGTTTTGCAACTAAGGATTGTACTTGCTCAAAAACAGCAGCCACAGAGAGGTGGCAGCACCGAACCAGCAGGAAAACAAAAAAAGCATGATTAGAAGCCATACATTCCATGCAAGAGCAATGTTTTTACCAGTGATAACTGCAGAATGTCCCCCTCCTCCAGCAATGCTTGCTATGTCTTGACATTTGCAGGAAACATCCTTCAGTGCCTGAGGTACCAGCACATCCTCTTTATGACCAAGACCAAGTTGTCCATAGCTGTTTGCACCCTTCAAATGCAGAGAGAAAAGTAACACATTTTTTAAAAAGTTAACAAAAATGGCACACATCTGCTCCTAAAACCAAACAAGCTTACTGGAGTTATGCCACTGGTTGACCTGCCAGTATTTGCTCCTGAAAAACCCCTAATATGTCAATCTCTGTTCTTTCCACTGTCACAGGATTCCCAGAATTACAGGCCAGGACTGTCCTAACTTTGATGTCATTAAGTCTGCCCCTGCAACCCCAACAGTTTAAGAAACATTCTGGAATACAACCTGTTAAAACTTCAGCTGTAGGCTAAGAGTTACTAAGGAGGAAAGCCTAGCTATCAGGATGTGTTTTAATTTTAATGCTAATGATTCCCACTCATCATTAAGATCTTATTCATGCCACTGCTTTCTGGCAGTCCACCTCCAAAACAAGATCCTTGTTCTGTAACTTAACCAAATCAGAAACACTTACCCCTCATTAACAAAGTCTTTTAACTCTTAAGCGGTCCAAGTGAAAATATACTAATTATAGCTAGTATAAATTTACGGGTAAAGAATTATAGCTACTAAACCCATCACAGAAAGCAACAATTGCAAACATGGTAATGAGAGACAGAATTTTTTTAGCCAATTAAATTATACCTCCAACAGGTGGAGCATCAACATTCATTCCCGAAAGGGAATACCATCACCTTTCCAGCCCACACACTGCAGTAACAACACTCCACGCCCACCGTGCTCCCAGCTGGTGGTCCCCAGGGGAGACTTTCCCTACCTCACCTGTGCTCCCTCACCCATTTTCCCTCCACCCTCCAAAGACGCAGCACCTGGTGAATGTTAGAAAGACACATTTATCAATAAACACTTTGTACCTACAGAAACAGAGACGATGCTGCTCGCCTCAGCCCACAGCAAACAGGTGGGTGAGATGTCAGGATTCGAGCTCAACAGGCAGATAAAGTTGTGTCACGGTCTCACTACTACTGGCAGACACATTTGGAGCGTGTTACTACTTAACAGAGGTAGTTCTTTTTAGAAGGTGTGTCACAAGCTCCCATCGTAGCCTATAGCTCGCAATGAATTTTCAAGCCTTCAAGAACAGGCGAGCTGAGATACGGCGCAGATAGAAAACAGGAGCCCGAGGAAGCGGGATCCGTGCGCGTGTATCCATCGCCACGCCGACAACAAACACACCGGTCGTGGCGTGCCCTGCCCTGCCCGGACCGATGGGCTGCGCCAGGCACGGCTGCGGCGGGGCCAGCAGAGCTGACAAGGGGCAGAGGTGCCCCTTCGGTTCCTCTTACACCCACTGTGCTCAGCGGGAAAAAGTGCAGCGTTGTTCTCCTTCGGCAAGAGGACACCTCGGCCCCCTTTTCCCAGGGAAGGGAGCCCGGCGAGGGACAAGCGGCAGCGCACGCCGAGCCCTGCAGTATCCCGAGGGCGAGAGCGCATCCCGGGGGGTGGCGAGCAGCCGTCCCCGCGTCCCGCCCGCCGCTCCGGGACGCGGGGCAGGAGGACGTCCCGGCTCTTCCCGAGCTCTCCCACTCACCCAGGCGAAGAGCTCCATCTCCACGGGGCCGGCGGCTCCCGGCGCTTCCCGCCGCCCGCAGGCCGGGCAGGAAGAGGCGGGCCGGGGGCGGCCTCAGGGGCGGGGAATATCCGAACCACACCATTAAAACGCAAAAAACCCCGAGACGCGAGCGAAGGCTATGTCTTTATCGCTACAGTGCTGGGGAAAAAAAAAAAAAAAAGTCGCTTTGCCTCTAGTAATTACCAGCAGGTCGTTTATTTCGTTCACATTTAAAGCCTCCACAACGGTTAAAAATATTTAAATTATTACTGCTCTATGTGGCCACGAGGTTTGGATGGGTGAAGCCAAACATACACGTTGTTAATGCCGTGGAAATGCATCTTCTCTGTGTTGTTTTTAGCAGGCTTTTTTTTTTTTTTTTCTACACAAGTGCAAATAAAAGATACAACTGCTGTTTTTACAGAGTATTTGAAAGTAGGTGCTAATTTAACAAGTATGAGGATTCCTATTTGAAATGTATACATAGCTCAGACAAGGTTTGTAGTAACACAGACCTATGTATATTTCCACAACATATTAATCCCAATATTGTTAAAACTGCACTTAACTATTATCACAGAAGCAGGCAAAATAGATCCTCACTACTCACTTAAAAGGTTTCTTTTTTAGAAAGACAAAGTTTCTAAAATCTGCAATGTAAGCCATAAATATGGTAGACCATAATTCTATATCTTAAATGTTCTTAAAAAAAAAAAAAAAGTTATAGTGGGTTAATAGCCACAGAAAAAAATTATCTAGACTTCACTTAAACTGTGAATCTCCTTGGAAAGGTTGAGCCAGCAATTGCTTATGGAGCAGATGTGACCTATGAAAGGACATGAAACTCAAGCTAATTTTCAAGCACAGAGGTTCACAGAAGTCCTTTAAAGTTCTCAAAATCCTGAACAAGCATCTCCAGTGTATTTAAGATTTCAGTTCATTTTTCCAGAGCACTTTCTGGATATTTTTTCTTTTTATAAGCTCTACCTATGAAAAACCAGCACTGAGGGTGCTCTTAAATACATCCTGCACAACACAGATCCCCATTCAAACGTGTCACATGCTGTCCATTTCATCGGCAGGGTCTGCAGAAGCAGCAGCCAGCACAGCTTTGCACGGCTGGGCAGGATGCTTGAAACTATGGGGCCCTGAAATCAGGCAAGTTTGCTACTGTGAAATACAGGCAGTTCATCAGGACAGTGCTTCCCACCACTTGCAAAGTGCTCTTTGGAGTTAGATATGCCTTATGCTACAAGGTAGTTTTTTTGCCTTCATGGCCACAGAATTCCCGTTAAATGCTTGGGCCTTTCAGTTATCAGTTGATTGACGGGGAATGAAGGTGTTCAAGCCAAGTAAAGAGGAAACTAAATGTACCTTTGTGCAACTTGTGCTGGTCAATAAAGTGACTGAGCAATCATCAACAGGATATTTATTTTTACAAAAACCATGCTAAACTATGAACTTTTGCTTTTGAATATTAAATTTTAAATTTTTGAATATTAAATGGTACTTTGGAAATGGTTCTAGGCTTTGTACTAAGGCAGTACACTTCATGGCTTGCTATACTTTTGCTAAATTATTTCTATGAGGAAAAAGGCAAATCGTATCTCTGTAAGGGAAGGTCCTCCCTCAGGTGCAATAACAAATCCTAACTCTCAGCTTACGGGACATCTCTTGCAATTAGGATTCCATGCAACATCTGTACCTCTGCCTTGTACTAGAAACATGCCAAACAGCACATTTGCAGTCCTCTGGTGGCAAGAATAATCCCTCTGAAAGCAAGATTTGACCCCTCCATTTGATCATATCAAACCTCCAGCTATTTGTGTCCTGATGCGTGCACTGTAATCATTCAAGTTTTAAACTTAGTAGTACAACTTAGAAGCACTGATTACCACAGCCTCTACGTTAACAAGTCTTCAATGTCAAAAAATCAGTACCATAGAGTACTGGAGTCAGAAATGGGCATCTCCCTACGGTGAATTATTCCATTATTGCCTCATAAGCCACCTTCTGGGGCATTTGATCCCAGTCCTGATTCAAAAACCACACTTCTTCTCCAATCTAGCACTTTCTCTACTCCCTACCAGATTCTAAAAGGCAACTCTGGACCTTTTTTATCTAAGGGTGATAAGAGAAACACATCAAATAAGGGACAGTACACAGAGAAACAAGATAACATTGTTATTCTTACGAGCCATTCACTCTTCTATTTGTAAAGGAATGAGTTCTGTCTACAACACATTATAAGCCTATGAAAGAGATCAGTAGGGAAAGGAAAAGAATCGGATTGCACCACACTGCTGACAGGGTGTTAAACTTCCAGCTGCTTGCCCATCTTGCTGAGGGCGTCGCTGACAATGTCCAGCTCATGACGTAGCTCATTCACCACGCTGGCAATGCTTTTTGTGTCTTTCAGAATCTGCACGCTCTGTGTGTATGGATTGTATTTCACACCAAATGGGCGCTTGATGGTTTTTGCGAACTCTCTATAGAATTAAAAAGAAAAAAAAAAAGCCAGTATAAATAACCCCTTTTCAAAACTACTTAAAAATAGTTCTTCATCTCTCCCACCCACCACGTGGAAGATAAAGCAAATACCAATCTCAGCTTTCCAATCCCATGAAAAAAAATAATTACAAAACTCTGGTAAGAATAAAAGGGTTTGATGCTGCTACGGAGAGGTGTATGAAATGAAATCTGCTTCTGTGAAAGAGGGAGGGAAATCTGTACCTCATCTTTTCCTTTGCTTCTTCAAAACTTTCAGAAACAAAGTAAACCTCCTGGAAAGTTGTAATGAGACATTCTTGCTTGCAGGTGACCTTCGGATCAAAAGGCTTGACTTTGGCAGTGTCAGAGAGTGAGTGCTGGTGATGTGTTATCATGGGTCAGAGGAGCATCACCATCCAAAGAATCCATGAAGAACATGACGTGTAGTAAAGTGAATAAAAAAGATAAAGTTAGGCAATATTTAGTGCATTGCATCTTAAAATATTTATCTGCAGATAAACAGCATTTAAAGCTTAACAAACTGAATTACTCAGAATGGTCGTATTCTGCCAGTCTGTGTCAAAAACGGGATTCCACAGACATGAGGCTCATGTGAAAACAAGAGCAGTGTTTTCAGAAATTGGTTAAGCCAACAGAGCTTTATCTGAAAGAAGTTGCTTGGACCCTAATGTTAAGAAATCCCAATCATCTACTGCTTCCTGCAAAAGACAAGGGATCCGCTCAGCATATATCCAAAAGCAGCAACTACTGCCCATAATTACTGCCACAGTGAATTTTCTTAAAGCCTGGCAGGTATTTAAGAGTTTTCAGGAGAAATATTTTTTAAATTATACTTTATAAAAAGCAGGGCAAAACAGTGGCAATAATAATCAGGTACAAAGAAAAAAGAGTTAAATAAGCAGTGGACATTCTTACCTTGAGCTCACTAATCGAAGAGAGCAAGCCAGCCCCATAAACTCGTAGTTGTCCCTCTTGCTTGCACAAGCCAAACTCTACAGTGAAGAAGTAGCACTGAAAAAGAGAAGGAAGTAAAATAATTCATCCTTGTCAAAGATGCTGTGGTGAACTAGATGTGAGCATTTCTATTTGTAGGTAGCATCAAACAGTTGTAAATATCAGTCATCCCTCAGTTGTCCTTCTCAGATATTTAAAAGAGGGAAGTCAGAATGGAAGGGGGTAAAGAACCACAAGATTACATGTTTCTCATAGGAAAGGCGGATGTTATAGATCACCCAGCTAGGCCACAAGCTGCTAATGTCAGTGGGAACAGTGAGATGTAAAATCTATTTGGAGAAATGCTGATGTGAAATGACAGCCTCAGCTCAAAAGAAACACTGGATAGAGAGGATCTCTTGAGTGAGTGAAAACAGCCCACTACAGTTTGTTTTTTGTTTGCTTAGTGTCCTGTAAAATTAAAGATTTTCAGTTTGCTGGATTTCAGGATTTCTGCAGGTATACAGGAAGAAACACTATTTTCATAGATGGCTTAATTCTGCTCCCACTGAAGGTAGTAGAAATTTTACAACTAACTACACAAGGTGGGGGAAAAAAATAGTAAACCAGTTCTTTCATAACTGGCATCAATTATTTTTCATATAAATTTAATTCTAATCTCAAAATATTTTTGCCGGAAATTGATGTCCAAAAAATTAGATTAATTTATATTATTTTACTTTCTTGGCTGAAGACTATCTAATGCTAGCACTCACCACATGGAGTTGAAATTATATTCATTCTACACATTAAAGAAATAGATTACTTTGAAAATCCTTGAATCATATTCCCATTAGTAAGAAAAGTTTTGTTTGGAAGAAATAGACCAGAGAACTCCAGTCTGGAAAAAGTGACCTACCAGCAGAAGCTGAACCGTTATTTGACAGTCAAGTGAAGAATAATATCAGTTATCTCAGCTTTAAAGTGTACTTTTTTTCCCAGCATGGAAAATTTTTGTATGCTCCAAAACCAGGGACCAGTGAAACACGTAGATCCATCAGCTGTTGTGGCTGATGTTAACATGAAGCTCCAAGTTTATTCAGTGGAGTGGGATCAACTTAGTAAAGCACAAAGCTTTTGATACAATCACCAAGCACTCAAACACTCACTGTTGCCAGTTTTTGGACAGCCTCATCTGAGGCCCCAAGTGATGCAAGACCAATTTCCTGGGAGAACTGAGCAAAACTGGGTTCAGCCAAAAGAGGGACATGGCCTAGGAGCTCATGGCATGTATCACTGGAAAAAGAAACAAAACAGGAAATCTCGTTATTTGTCTTTGTGACAAAAAGCAGAACCCCTGAACAGATACAATGTCTTGCGTTAAACTTTAATGCCCCAAAGACAGAAAAATGTCACTCATTTATCTGAAAGCAACTGGGTGGACTTACAAACTCTCCATAAGTACCTAAATTCAGATTTTCAAATGAAGTTGTCTGAAATTAGGATCTGAACTCCACATTTATGAGGCAATTGAATATTAAACTAGTTGCACACAAGGACATCAGTAACAGACCTCCAGTAACATGTTATGCTTTTGAAAATCCTGTACTTATAAAGGTGGGACTTCAACATGCTAAAACTCCATTATATTCAGGGAAGGTTGAGTCTTCAGCACCTTAAAATTAAGTTTTATGATGGTGTTCTTGAACAGCTTTTAAGTAGCTTGGCTCTGGACAGCAAGAATCAAAACTTCCTCTCTCTCAAATTCTACCACAAGATTAAATGACTCACGGCTCTGGCGTATAGAGAGGGTCCGAGCTGTGTCTGACATATTGAGTGCAGTGAAAAACTCTGAATGCTAATCCTGCCAAAAAGTCTCTGGGCGACAGATATCCAGCAACAGGGCGAATGGTGAAACCTGTACGCTCTGGAAATGAGCAAAGAAACTGTACATTAGTTTAGTGTAGAATGCAGAATGTTGACAGCTTTCCTGCTGCAACTGGGGTAAAAGCCACAGCAGTACCTTGCCTCAAGAGCACGTGGGAAGATCAGACACAATTAGAAAAATTAGGCCTAAGCTTGAGAACGACCAACATGTATTAAAAATGTCCCTCTCTCTGTGTCAGTGGATTTCCTGTGATTCCATGCCTAGAGTCAACATTACAGCTCCATATCCCGAGGTAGCACTGGCCCTCAAATGTCACTGTTTTGATATGCTCAAGACACAGTACATTAAAACATGGATGGCCAAAAGGCTTCTTCAAGAACCAGAACAGATACAAGCAAAGGATGTTTCCTTGTGCCAACAAAATAGTGTGGGCCTTAGTTTTTTCATGTAAGAAAATTTGCACGTTACCTTTCAGGAAGCGGGACACATCTTCCATCTGGGGGATATTGTCTTCCCTATAGCCACAGTATTTGGTGAGCAAAGGTAGGTTTTTAAGGTACTCTCTGCAGGCATGAGTTGGGTAAAGGTTGGTGAGCTCTCGGTACACAGTCCCCCAAGTCTTGATCTCCTCCTCAGTGAATTCAATCTTGGGAATTGGGTCACCACTACAAGGAGAGGAGAAAGAAAGGACATTCCTCAGTAAATGCTTAATAACAGATGACTCGTTTACCTACTATTACTATTTGACACCTCTATGTCTGTGACACTTGGCCAGGGTGCATTAGACTCTGTCAAATGCACAGTGAGATCTGGTCTATGCCCCAGAGAGCTTTTAGTCTAAGGGTTTGCTCTTTTTTCCACCTAAACCAATTGTCAGGAATCTTTGCATTGACCTCACTGGAGCCTGAAAGCTTTCCTTCCATAAACAGTTTCTTAGGTGTTCAATTCTGAGAGTAAGATTAAAAATACTTGCATAACCTCTTTACAGCTTCAGGATCTGAGAACGCATCCCTTTCCCAGTTGAACTTCCATGTGTACAATTACTTTCCATTACCCTTCTGATTTCTTTTAGGAAAAGAGAATTCCCTAAATTAACAACACATTGCGTGAAAGCAGATAAATATACACATCAGGTAAAAATCACACTTCTATGCAGAGGAGGCAAGCACCTGTTTGAACATATTAATTGTAGACTTTCTCTCCTATGTAGTCCTCAGGACCTTGATTAAAATGGGTTATAGCAATGGTAGTGTAACAGAGAGCTTTCACTGCCATTCAGGTAACCAGCATGGCAAATTTTTTCCCCAAGGGAATCTCTTTCAACAACACATTAAGAGAAATCAGCTCTGTGCTGTAGTAACCGGTTGCATTAACACATAGTGCAATAGAGCTCTAAATACCCACCATTTCTAGGTCATTTTCAATTGAGGAACTTGACACCTAAATTCAATCAGGCAACATCAACATAAAAAAATCACTTTTAGAAAGAATTTACAGCACTGAGTTAGGAAACTGTTACTGCTTTAAGAGCTCCTCCCCCAAGCAGCATCTCTTAAGACAGAAGCTCTCCGAAATTCTTTTCACAGAAATCTTCTTATCTACACATCACATGCATTAGTTTGAAGCAGGAAAGAAAATTCAAGTATTAACATTTACCCAGAGAGTTTACACTGTGGTCAATGGGCTATACTGGGAATTGCCCCCCTTCCCTCTCCTTTGCAAAGGAGATTTATCTGCCCCGATGGTCAGGAAGTCCTGGCACAGACAGCTGTGCAATGTGCATTGTCTTTCCTCCTCCGTTGTTGCGCCCATTTCCAGGAAAGTGGGGAAGAACTGCAGAGTCCAAATGCACCACGCTGTCATCGCTGCCCATCTGAGGAGCAGCACTGCTGCAGATGCCATAATGGCCAAGCAGCACAGTCTCAGGCTGACCAGAGCTGCAAGATGGCCTAAACCTACCTGTTGATCTTGTCTTATATCTCCCTTCGTTTTCCCCCCTTGGCTCTGATTCCTGAGCCAAGCATATCTCAGCCTGATCTGAGCCCAGGGAAGGTGAGCTCCTCACAGTCCACTCTGCTATTGTTTCAAAGCACCCAAAAGTCTTATTCTGGGAGAATTCAAGCTTACTGTTTGTAGTTCATAGCCAGGTCTGCAAAATACTTTCGCCTCTTGCGATAGACATTGTCTTTGAAACCCTAGTAAGGGGAAGGAGGAAAACAAAGTTAAAGAAGTTTCTAAACTGTAGTAAATCAATTTAAAATGAGACACATGACACTTCAGTTGGGAAATATAAAACTATGCTGTGTAATAATGAGAAGACAGGAACCTCACAGCTGTAGTTTGAAATATTTAATAATTGGGAACTAAGCAAATACTCCAAAGTAAGAATGAGCTGTTTTATGTATACAACTATATATTCAGCAAACAAGGATTAATTTTAGTCATATCAGTATTTATACAAACTTTGTTACTTGCTTGATGATTCTAAATTACAGAAGAAATTGTCCATTTGCACTGCCCAAATACTAATTTGGTTGCTCCAGTAAGGAAGAAAGAAAGAGCAGGAACCAAGCCTGCTTTCAGTTTTTTGTTTGGGTTTTTTTGTTTGTTTGTTTAATTTGTATGCAACCACTCAGGGCCCAGACCTGGAGTAAACCTTGCAGAAAGGCACAGGAGCTGAATTCAGTCTTGCCTGAATTAAGAATGAGGCATGAAATCCCCAAGAGAAGGTGCTCAGATCCACAGAGGCGCCATTGAGGGAGAGGAGAGGGAGGAGGAAAAGCTGCAATTTTTTAAAGTCAGCTCCACAAAGTATTTTTTCACTACAGACTGGATGTGGGGAGGAAAAAGTACTTACTGGATGGTCAGCATCCAAATCAGACCCGTACATCAGCACTCGGTTCGCACACTTATCCAAATCTGAGATCTTCTTCGGAAACCAGGGAACATTCTCCATGTCTAGAGAACGCATGGAATCCACAAGGTTATTAATAAAACCGAGCACACTGAGGGAGGAAACGCTGCTTTCAAGTATGGCTATGGCGGTTACAGCTAAATCTATAAATTAAAAGGGCATGAATAAGACAAGGGAGTCCTCTGCCTATCTGGCACCAGCCTACAGCTCACACTTCCTCCTCGGTCACTGCCACAGTCTGCCTACAGAGCACGGCCAGCTCCAAAGCCTCTGGGGAGGAAACAGTTAAAATGGGTTTTCTCTGGCCCTTGAGTGTTGTTAGAGTAGATATAGAGGCTCCCACAGAGACAAGGTCTCCTTGTGTTCACCGCTGGGAATCCTGTAGTGTATGAAGTGTGCAAAGGAGTACAGAAGTGATTTGCCTGTGATCCCTGGGGGCAGAATGGGAGCAGGTTAGAGTCCTCCCATCCTGCTCTACTGACCTCAGGAAATAGATGTTTCTCTGTGGTTATGTACTTCAGATGCATCCAGCTTTGCCTTTTGAGGGGTTTGTGGGGGAAAAGTAGCAGGAGGACCTGCAGTCTTAGAAAGGGGCATCATTAAAGTTTTGCTACTGACTACTTTGGGGTTATTTTTAGCCTAAAAGGGTTTTTTGCCAAGCTCTTGGCAGAGCAGTTTTTCTGCCATGCTCTTTAGTTTACTTAAAAAGGTCAGGGCACTGTTTGGATTGAATTTCACCTTAATTAGAGCTAAAGTAAGCTGTTTAATCCAAGACCATCAGATCCCTCCCTCACAAGCACAATGGCTGAGAAATACATGGGACCAGCTTCCTGCTGCCCTGAACTCTGGGCATCTCTTCAGCTAGGAGTAAAGGTAAACAGGACGTGAAGCATCCTAAGGTTAAAAGGCACCTCTTTCCCACTAATATAAGGAACCAGTGGTTAAAAAGTAAGGAAATCAAGAACTACATGAGGAAATTGCAGAATCCATCCTCCACTCTCACCAGTGCCTGAACTGAACTGGGATCTGTCAGTGTTACACCTCTGTCATGGTGGTGTACTCAAGCCCTGCCTTCAGACTTTGCCTACAGGCCAATCTCCAGTGACCTGCATGGATGCAGGACTCCCACTGATGCCAGCTGGGCTGTGCTGAGGAGGGACAGGAGCACAGGCAGCAGATACACAAGTGGCAGCAGCTTGAAGCAGCCTGTACTCCCAGGTGGCACCAGCCAGCACAGCCCTGCTCATGTCAACCGGACTACACTCACTGACAGCACAGAAGCATGCACCTGGTAACTGGTGACTGAAGACACTGCACAAATGCAGATGTGGACACCATAAAAAGATTGCAAACCAACACAGTCAGAAGGGCATTTTCATCAGAAATGCCTTTGGCACTCACCATCTTCGTGGCCGTTGAAATGCTCTGCTGGGCTCACAGAGACAACATTGACGTGGGATTTCAGGAGCTGGAAGATCTCATTCAGTTGTTCCCTTTTACTGTCACAGTCCACAAAGATCTCAAACTCAGAATTTCGTCTCTTGGACTTTCGTGACTCGATGTGTACCAGATTGACATGCTTCTCCTGTTTTGTAAGAAGTAATGTTTTCGAACAGATAGACTAAGAAACTAAAATCTGTTTTTCAAACTAATATTTTACTGCCATGGACTATTCTCCATCTTTATGAAGCTATTTTAGGTAACTGAATCTCTTGATAGCGATTTGCTTATTGGAGGGTGGGGAAATTATTTGATTTTCCATTCAGAAGAAAATGAAAGAGAACCTGTGTTCTTTTGGTATTATTTACATGCAGGAAGCACACAGACACAGTCAGGAAATTTAAATTCACAGACCTTTTTCTTTCCTCCCTCCCACAGGAAGCTGATTAGCAACTGGGTCTGGGGAGATTCACCAAAATGCTGATCAGTTCACCATATAATTATCTCACAAGCAATTTAATTAATTTAATTAATTTCTAAAGAAATTTAAAACCAGTAGTTTTCAGGGCATAAATATAATTTCTTTTTTAGTTGAAAAATTATTTAATCCTGTGTTTTATGTTAGGAACATTGAGAAAACCCCAGGCTAAGATACGCAGGCCAGCACCCTACACCCCAAACATCTACCTGCCATCAGCAGGACCTTCAGACCCACCTCTTACCCTCAAAAAAACAAGTGCCAATCCTCTTTCCATGAGGGGAAAAGACAAAACCTCTCTCAGTATTTAGTCAGTGCAGATAAGAATTTTTGTGAAGATTTTTAGCCAAACATCATTCAATTTCTGAGGAATAAATTTGCCTTTCTGGGTAATTTTGTGTGCAAAGTGGGAGCCAGGTGAAGAATCATATCCTTAATAAATGGATGTAATTAATTCTAGTGTGTTCCAAAAATATCCTTACCATATAAAATACAAAGCAGCTATAGCAATATGATTATAATGTACCTGAAAGAGTTTTAATGCTTTTACAAGTCCTCCAACTTCATTCTTCAAGGAAAAAATGATGGCTGTCCTTCCTCTTTCAGATGCATTGTCTTCATTCTCTTTATTATCTTCAATCATCATGTAGGTTGACTTATTTAACTAAACTCAGACAAATAAAAAGGTTTTTTGAACTGGAAGTAGTGCAAAAAGTGTGAATTTTTACATTTCAGTTTGTCTTGGGCTAATGCTGTGCTTTGACTGATCAACCACAAAAGGAAAATTATGACCTAAATCATTACACAATCACAACACAAAATTATGACACAAATCATTACACAATAATAAGGGACACAGAGAATCTGTGAGAGCTGAGAATGAAATACCAAGATATCTCTTTTTTTTCAGTTGAATGATTTTATAGACATCTTTATAGTCATTCCCGAGGATGCAGAAACTGTTTTCAATGTGTGGTTTATAACTAGCATTGTTACTGCGAGGAAGGGGAACTGTAAGATGTCAGCAGAAATAGTATGTTGAGCAAAACACTTCATTAGCAACTTCAATGAATGTTAGTAAAGGGAATAATCCAAATCCTGCAGGATGTAAATAGGAAAAGGTGGATCGGGATTCAGTAGATCAGTACTGGAAAATCATTTGCCTTTCTCTCATAACATCACTCTAAAGCATTTTAAAGCATTGTTTTCGTAGAGTAAGGAGACAAACCTAAGGAGTTAAAATGTTATGCTGACCAGAACCTGTTGACTGTAGAGACAATCCCACTCTGATCAGCTCCAGCCAAGCCACTCCATTTGCCAGGTTCCCTTATTCTTATGTCAAACCCTTGGCATAATCACCCAAATCGCACTGTAAAAATTCAGACTTCAGACGCTGTCAGACCGTCTGGTTTTGTACCTTACTAGTGATCACACTCCTGGCTGTGTTGAAATCAGTGGATATCACAGACCAGGTCCTTAGCTACAGGTACCCAGGCCGTAGACAGAGATAATATTGAAACAATTAGGAATGTGGAAAATGCAAAGTAAAGAAAAAATACAAAGCTTAGAAGAAGAGGCCGTGTCTCACATGTCTTCAAACCTTGCAAAAATGGAAAGAAAAAAGGTGAGGTTTCTGGATTAGTCAGCAAGACAGAAAAGGAATGCTATTGCTATTTGGAATTATTTTTTGATCTGACATAGCTTTTAAAGATATGACTATCTGGAGACATTTTCAGAAATGGAAAGAGCAAAACAAAAATGCAATCAAAACACACCAGTTCCACTGACTCCCTTCTATAATCTCTCCAACTTTAAACCTGTTTAAAATTGATAATACTGAACAGCTAAATGTTTCTATCTGTGACTGAGTGGTTTAAAAATAAAAATAAATAAAAAACAAACAAGCAACAACAAAAAAATTTACCTATCTTGTATCAAAATGTTCTGATTTACTTTTCAGATGAAGAAGGCAATCTGCCTCACAAAGTAATGAAATTAATTTCATCTTAAATTGAGTGGTTTACAATGAGGCAGACATTTGATGCTGCTGTAAGAAAGGTTTCAAGCAGGTTACTAGATGTGAGCATTTTAGAGTGCCAAGGTGGTATCCCCTGGAAGAGGTCCAAGACCACTGATGCTAATGAAAATATCTGGATTTCTGACTGGGTCCCCACCTCTGATGAGTTGTCACTATATGATGAGCCTGAACAAAATGTCAGACCTTCACACTGTTTCTGATTCAAAAAAGTCACTGATCTCCATCAGCTGGAGTCCAGACATCAAATTCTCTACTGAAAGTGTGTGACAGGGCCCAGTCCAGGTTCAGCTGAGCAGCCCGCAGGTTTCACAGTTTGCTTCAGTGTCAGACCATGATCACAAGAGCCAGGAACAAATAGAGTTGGATGGTGGTCTTTGAGGGAAATAACTGATGGGCTGCTTTACGTACATTACTAATATGCTGCATGTTGGCTTGATTCCACATTCGGGATCATTGACTGAAGACCAGATCAGCTTATGAGATTTGGCACAGTTGCATGCAACGTTACAAGGTGCACAGCTAGGACAGACTACAGGCTTCAAAGAGTAATGTTCTTATTCTGTATTTCACTCCTGCAACTGTGTCTAGGATCAGGTGACAGCATTTATAAAGTTATGTGTTTAAGAGACTGATAAAGAAAATACAACACAATGCAGTACGTTCTTATATTGAGTTCTAGAAATGACTTCTAACTTGCAAATTAGAAAAAGTTGCAGAAGAGAAATTCAGATGGCTACAATGCCAAACACACACCAATTACATCTTTAACCCTACACCAACACTAATCTTTCACTTTCAGTAAAAACTGGACTGAAGAGAGGGCTGAATTAGTGCAGCAACCATTTGAGTGCAAGGCAACAAGAGAAAATGGTAATACAAAACAATTCCTCTCCTCCAATGGCTGCGCCTTCACTTTCATTTTTTATTCTGTATCAGTAACTAAGCTGTAATAAAATCAGACACTTTTCTTTGCACGGTAACACATTCAAGCTTTTTGGAGGGTGAGGGGGAATTAGTATTGCATTGATGTTTTTTATGAGTGATGTAACTCATTAACTGATTTTCCATCGACCTGACTCTGTCTTGGTGAAAATACACAAACAGAAGGATATCCTAAAGCCTCTATTTAGATCAATAACTAGGTGTTATGTGGTTAAAGATCATTCTTTTTGGAGCTCATAGCTATTACCTTTCCTTTCTCCTCCTCCCCAAAGAATATTCTCTGTGAGATAGATATTTGAAGGTGCATATTTTGTGATTTAATTCATTATACTAATGGATGACCAGGATTTGAAATTATCCAAACACATTAATCTAAAGGAAATTATGTTTTAGAGCTACACATTGAAGACAAAAAAATCTTTTTAAAAAAAGCATTTGATACAGATTGACACTAATCATGCTTGATAAAAAGTCTCAATGGGCATTTTATATCCTTCTCCCTCTAAGTAGCTGCTTACTTTACTTTGTCGCTGTCACCCTTAGTAGGGAAGGGTGAAGACGTGATGTTACAAGTGACCATGACTAGATAACACTTTACAGGTACATTTTCCAGCCACTCCAGAGGTCTTCTTCAGATTTAGTTCTCAGACACCAAACCAAAAGCTGTGCTGAACACCTTATTTGGCTTCCAAAGATCCGAGGGCTACAGCAAACCAACATTTTTGTGAAACTTTTCTCCATCGCAGACAGCATTCTTGTTTTTACAAGGAATTTTACAGACTTTATCAGCTGCACCATATCAGTAACTGTAGCCAACACATAAGCTCTGATTTTACCTGATCTTCTGTGACCACTGAGCATATTCCCACTGTAACGTGAAACAACCCAGGAGTGAATTTTTCTGGGCTCTGTTACACCCTGTGTCTCCTAAGCAGCGATGCACCAGAAAGTTTCTACCTTGATTTCATGTGCTCACATTTGTATTTTACTACTTTTCCCACACACACACTTCTGACCAGAAACAGCAGCATAACCAGTCCCATCCCAGTCCCAGCAGCACTGAAACGCTCAGAGCGATAACGGAGGATCCGCATCCCACGGCAATTAACCACTCTCCGAGTAAGCGGCATCAGGAAGCTGCCCTTTCCCCCAAATCCCCGCCCTGAGAACCGCGACTTCAGAGAAACAGCGTTTTCCCCGCAAAGCCGGGACCGGCCTCACTCGCAGGGCAGCCCCCTCACCTGTGCCCATCCCGCTCCCCTCACCTGTGCCCATCCCGCTCCCCTCACCTGTGCCCATCCCGCTCCCCTCACCTGTGCCCATCCCGCTCCCCTCACCTGTGCCCATCCCGCTCCCCTCACCTGTCCGGCGAGATCCCTGCTCGGCGCCGCTTCCAGGGATCCGCCGCGGCGGGGCGCGGGGTACATGGCCGGGCGGGCACGGGGCAGCGCCGGGACCGGCCGGATTTATGGAGGGGCGAGAGCCGCCCCTGGCCGGGGGAGGGATGGAGAGAGGGAGGGAGGAAGGCGGGGGGAAGCGCTGCCCGTCCCAGCTGGGTACGGGACTCGATGACCCTCTCCATCGCACCCGCTGGACGCTGTTCATTCAGAGCTGGCGGAGCAACGATGCTCAGATGCAGCCACCGCGCAGCCACCATCGCTGCACTCCGGAATAACCCGCGCAAGAAAAGGCGCTTCCCCTCCCGAGTTACACCTCCTCGGTCACCCGTACAAGGTCATTTAATAGGGGTCAGAGAAGACTGACCTTTTACGGGTAACTGTGGGCTTTGCATGAACACCGATTTGCGCCCCTGGGGCTGAGAGGAGCGAGAGTTTGGACGGAGGGGATCTGTCTTCCTCCACCGTGTCCACACAGCCACTTTCAAACACTTGTCTGTTTGCTGCAAAGTGTTCTTTATGCTGCCTATGGGAAAGGGAAGGCAAACAGCATCAGAAATGAGAGGGGGTGAGGGCTGGGCCCATAGCAGAGGGGCTCTAGGCAAAGTTGGCTCCAAGGTGACAGCTCAGCTATGGGGACTCAGCAGTGAGGGACTCCCCTAAATGTTTGACAGCATTAGTCCAGGTTATACTCTCCAAGGGAAATGTGGTGGGTAGATGTATTGAGCCCTTCACTAAAAATAACAGCGCATTTTCTGCTGTGAAAATAAATTGCAGCATATTACTTCTTTTCTCAAAACCCCCTGCAAATACAGGAAGAATAACTACATTTCTGTTAGCAGAAACTATGTATTTCCATATCATATATGTTGTTATTCATTTTCTGCATACATCTAGACATATGTTTATATTTTAAAAATTCATGGTTTTTAAACTCCAGTAATCCCACACCTCAGTGTCTCCTCTTAGGTCAGACTTGGCAACATTAAGATAAGGGGATTTGTGGTCCACAGCAGAAGCCAAAATGTTCCCCAGGAACATAATCTCTTGGAGGCTTTAAGGGTCTGGAGGAGGAGAGATTGATTATTTTTGTTGGGCATGGCATGGAGCTGTCCAAAACAAAGACTCTAATCTTTTTTTCACATTGCTTTCAAACCTACCTTTCAAAGAAATACTCAAAATCAGTAGCAACTAGTTTTACCCTAATATATTCAAGTGTCTGAAAAATCTCCAGTATTTTTCTCTTCAGTGCCTAAAATACTGAAACCTTGATTCCAGCTAGATCTCTTAGACACTAGTGTAATGTGCGTGATAAATTATACTGATGAAGCCGATACGCAGGCAAACACCTAACTCAGGCAGGCACAGTCACACCTGCACCAGCATCTCCAGTGATGTCACTGTCTTCCTTCTCAGAAAAAATTAAACTTCAAACAATCCTCTTTCTAAGAGGATTAAGGGTGGCTAGCTCTACTCTTCAGCACAAGATTGAAAGAGAATGACTGTAAGTGATGACATAGCTGTAAAAGCCTTTTTTTTCCCCCAGTTTGCTAATTGAATATATTTCATGATGAGATGCTTCAATTTTCCATTCATAAAGAAAATGCAGTATTTATTCATATATGTCTTAAGTCCACAACAGACATTTCACTTCCTTCTCGCTGAATAGATCTCCCCATCAAACAAGCTGACTCAAAAAGCAAACAATTCATGGGGTCTTTACCCGGAATCCTAAGTGTATGAGAGCCTCATATTAACAATAAATATGTAAACATGGGTACAGTAAGACATTTACAATAGAATATGACTAATCTGTCAATCTTTCATAGCTCAAATGCAGCAATAAGAAGAACTAACATGTCATTCTGCGTAAATTTTTTTTAATTACTCACTAGGTAGCCCTCTAGAAGCTTTTCCAATGTTACAGCTGTCAACTGAGTTCAGGTCACTTTAACTGTGAATGAAGGAGAGGTTTTTGATTCTTTTTTTACTTTACTCAGGTCTATCCTTCCCTTTCCTTCAAAGTCTATAAGCTTTCACAAGATACTGGGAAAGTCAGTTTACTCTTGGTGTGTACATATGGGTTATTCTCGTGTTAAGGGACACCGATGTCCTCCCCTACAGGTCAGACCTGTAAAGATGCTCAAGAGAGAGCCAGTCACCCAAGCACTTGTAAGAACCAGCTTTGGATCCTCTCTCCCCAGGAGACAGCAGAAGCAGCGGTTTGGTCAGCATCTACAGGTGCCTGAAGACATGAAGGGAAGGGCACAGGACAGTCAGAGGGGCCACATCAAGTCACAAATGGTGTAGCTGAGCTCAGCAGAAGCACATGAGCTTCACAGCACATGAGCCATGCAGAGGATATAAACTAAGCTGGCAGCTATGCCAGAATTAAGGGCACTTCCTACCTCTGAGGGCCCTGTCTGATAAACAGACAGGAGTGTCCCTGCTTCCCATCCTCACCCTGTCATTTCCAATTTGAGCAGGAGCCTTCTGGGATGCTGGGCATCCCTCTCCTCATACTCTGCAGAGCCCACGGGCATCCTGGCCTAGAACTGCTGAAACAATGTGAACAGGTCAGTAATGGCCAAGGAAATTTAACCTAATATGAAATTATTAGTTACATAAGGAAACAACTGGGGTGCCCAGAGTTTTGGGGAGCAGATTGAAGCTGATTCACTGGTTTAGTAAGAAGTGCTTGTTCACCACAGCCAATGCCCTGTAGTCTGAAAGGGCAGAACCACAAAGCGTGAACAGACTTGATTACAGCCTGTTTCCACTGGGTGCTCGCTGGAGCCTGCTCTGCTCCTCTCTGCACAGGCCTTCCAGTTCCTGGGAACCTGAGGATGGTTTTATAGGAGAACTACTTAAAAGTAATAAAGCAATACAGTGAATAATTTTTCTTTAAAGCCCACAGGAGATTTCTCACATACAGCCTCTCATGCAGACAAAGCCCTCCAGACAGATAATCAGCACTTGAGGATCGAACGCAGGTTTGACCCTGCTCAAAAGTGGGTCAAGCTGATCACAGGTCTTGCAGGACAGGGCTCTGCCATGTGCAGCTGCCACAAAACCTGTCACATTGGCACAGAGCAACCATGACAGCAACCGTGACAGCACTCACCATGAAGGCTACGAGACTGGCTTTCAGTTACATTATTCCTTCATAACTCCTCATTAAATGAATTCTCCTCTTCTCAGCAGCATCCAGATCCAAGTGAGAGGGTAGTGTAAGACCAAAGTCCCACATTTTCTGGGTCTTTTGCTAGAGTAGATCCAGGAACATCAAGCAACTCAACAAGACCAAAACTCATTCCTCCTTCTCAGCTGCTAACTTACAGGTGGCTCTTCTCTAGTTTTTGGGGAGTTTCTGGTTTGTTCTTCAAAGCAGGAACTTGACAGCAGGGTTTGCAATCAGCCAGTCGTTCTGACACTTGGGGGTACACATTTGTAGAAAAATGATCTGGGAATTTTTAGGCTGAAAAGTACTAAAAACAGTCACACCTCCAGATCTTCCCTCTCCCTAGAAAGCCATGAAGCAAAGGGACCTACTTTTTGCTGTCTGTGAAACACAACAACATAAACCTTCTGCCCTATCTCTCCTCTTCCTCCCACTTACCTCTCCTCTTCCTTCCACTCTGAGAAAGTTTGCTCTCCATGGGTCATGGGTCAAACACGTAGGGACTCAATTAACCTGGCACATCTTTCCAGACTGAGCACAGGTCTAGTATTCACCAACACTCTGGAAAAGCTGGTCTGTGGGGGAAAAAAAAAGACAGAAAAAAGAGAAATCAGTGTAGTACAGGGACTCTCAAGGGCTCCACCACTGTGGGAGAGAGAGAGTCAGAGGGTGATTTTGTTCAACTGTTGAGGCAAGAACCATAGAAGGGCAGATTGGGAATGATCTGTAAGGATACTAATCTGCTGTTGAAGGATAAGATTATCTACCTGAATGCAGCAAGACTGAAGGAGAGAATCAGTCAGCTCTAAAGTCTTCTCAATCCCATCAAGGTCATCAGTGGGAATTACCCCTTCTCCCCACGTGATAGGAGAAAGTGCTCTAATCTCCAATAAGGCAAATCACAACATCACTTCTGGGGTATAAACCTCCTCAGCCATCCCTTGGACTTCATGTGGGCCAGCCATCTGCCTTTCCAACCAGGAGTGTTTGCCTGAGGCAAAGTGACCACTTGAAGCTCTTCCAGAAAAGGGTATGAAGTGTTAAATCCCTGAACAAAACAGGTTTAATACAACTTAATACCAAGGCTACTCTAATCATAATTACTTTCTCCAGAATTACTGCAAATTCTAATCACAGCCCTCTGCCTTTCTGTTAATTAACTGCAGACAAGTCATGCCTTTAAGAATTACGTAGCACTTAGACAAGCACTATGGAAGTTGCAGGGAAGAGTTAAGATGAATATCATGCAGCCCTCTGAAACAGGTTTTTTTCCAGTGTAGATTTTACAGATCTCTCTCATATTCTGATTGAATTTTATTGATGCTCTCATATACTGGTGCCTAAAAAACAGCTGGTCTGAAAATCTGACTCATTTTTTTCTGCTGATTTTTAATATTTAATAAAGCATATATTGTAGGAACACCCAAGCAGCATTTGCTTCCATTCACTTTCTAATCTTCATTCTGCCAACCTTTGACTGCTCCCATTCAAAGCAGGTAACCTATCATTGTGGCTCAGGTCATTTACCTAACTGCTGGGAATTAAAAAGCTCCAAATCCAAAGCTGTTCAAATTTTCTAAGAAATATATGGATCTGAAATCCCAAATCCCTGGCTTTCTACTGGGAGTACTTCCATTTGCTCCCTTCTGTGAACCACAGATCTTCCAACAAACATTTCCAGAGCAATTCACCCAGCCTTTCACCAGCATGAGGCTACAACAGTGTCACACACATTGAACTCTCAGTAATCACATAGAAACGTCTGGAACTCTCCCCGTGATAACTCAGCCCCTGAGAAGGGAACCACATCCCCACGAGGCTGGTTTGGCAATCAGTTAACTCTTGATGCTACTGAATAGTTGTTGAATAATAAAGCATTTCATTCTCAAGCAGTTAATATGCAACAAAAGAAAAAGGGAAATTTAGGTTACGCAGTGATTTAAAACATTTACAAATATCCTTTTTGCAATGAAAAGTGCAAGAACCAATGAGGCAAATTACCCACTCAGCGTGACTGAGCCAGCTGTAGTATCAATAGCCTTTAAGCACGCTTCTTTTGAAAAGCCAGAGCTGCTGTGTAAATCTACTGAAGCACATACAGCCAACAGACCATTCACTGTTTGTATGTTTGCTTTGGACAGAGCAGTCACTGAGTGTTTGTTAACCTCAGCCTGTTGGTCTAATTAGTAGAACAGCAGCATATTGTGTATTCAAAGTGAGGTGGAAGAGTGAACAAAGGAGAAGGCTTTGTTCTTGCTAATGATATGAGTAAGCAAAGCTCAGAAAGCAATTCAGCAGACTTTGATCCATTCAGGAAAGAGACTGAGAGCTCTTCAGGTACTCCTGAAAACACAGCCTCACCGTCAGTGTGCGCTAGTAACCAAGGCTCTACCATATTCATCTTCATTTGGGAAGTTTATCCGACATTAGACTTGTTGAACGTAAGAAGCAGAAAGACTGTATTCCATATGCTGCATATGCCTTAAACACAGCCAGGCCAAGGGGAGTCAAGAGCTGACTCCAAGGTTCAAAAAATCACAGAAGGCATTGGGTCTGTTCAGCCTGGAGAGGAGGAGACTGAGGGGGAATGGCCTGAAGTTGTGTCAGGAAAGTTTTAGTTTGGATATTAGAAAAAGGTTCTTCACCCAGAGGGTGGTTGGGCACTGGAACAGACTCCCCAGGGAAGTGGTCACAGCACTAAGACCAACAGAGTTCAAGAAGTGTTTGGATGATAAGCTCAGGCACATGGTGTGACTCTTGGGGATGGTTCTGTGCAGGGAAGAATTTGGATTTGACAATCCATGTGGGTCCCTTTCAACTTGGCATATTCTGTGATTCTGTGGGCCTGCCTGTCACAGCAGGTTTTCGGTGCCTGTTTCACCTCTGTGGTGCAAATGATTGGCCTTTCTGAAACAGAGGATGTGGCCAGGTGTTTCATTCTTATCACATTTGTTATGTTCTTTCAGGGTTTCAAAACAAAATGAGCTCAGAGGACCGTTCTCAGTCCACAGACTTCAGACACCCCCCAATCCACTGAAATCCTGGTGTTCATACAGCAAAACAGATGACTAAGGGCAGCCTCTGGTCTAGGCACTGACCACTGGCCAGCATGAACAATATAAATTCGATCACAGTCACTGTCTGCTGTAAGGATGAAAACCAGCAATGTAAACCCATCAATTCACAGCAGCAACTTAAAACACACTGGCAACGGTAAAATATCCAGCCTTGGAGCAGTGAAATACCTCATCATTTCCAAGACTGGCAAAAGCTATTCATCTCATTGAGCTCTCATGACAGATGTTTTTTCCCCTCTGTGTTTCTTTTATCTTATTAGATTTTAGCTCCCATTATAGGTAGGACAATTTTGCATTGGGGCAAAATTAATTAGTTTGCATCAAAGGAAGGCTCCTTGAAACGTAACACTAATGAGTTTCATCTGCCTGATTAGAGGGCTTTGCTTTTAGGAACACTTAGCGCAAAATTTTATTTCAGAGAAATATAACATTATAAGAATATTTAAGGCTAAAATCATTAGCTAAACAGTAACCATGATCATGGATAAAAGATTAGGGTGGTAAGCTGAGAGCAGACATACAACTGAGAGGAGGAAGCAAGTGTAGATCAGAACAGGTTAATGAAGATTTGTCAAAGATGTGTTTTTGAAGCAGAGCTCAGTACAATTCACAACAATATATTCAGTGAAGTAACACTGAGACTCCCATCTATTCACAATGCTTTGAGAGACTAAAGGGAAAAGAGTTAGGGAGAAAAGAGAGCACTAATTTTTAGAAAGAAAAGATGGGAAAAATGTTCATTCTGGATGAGTCAACTAATTTTTAATATCTGGCAAACTACCTGGATTTGCTTATTTTTAAATTTGTTTTTAGTCAAGAGCAAATATGTTTAATCAGCTTTAGTTTGACTGATGTCAGAATTGCTCCAGAGGACAAAGGTGATTAAATAGTTAGGGTATTTTTCACTTTTAAGCTTCTTCACCCACTTTCTCTTAACCATTACTACAATTATGAAAAAATATAGTCTGGAATTAACTTCCTGAAACATGGGTGTAATTTCACCTGAAAAATTACACAGTAAAAGTAGTTATGAGAGATTTGCTGGTAAATTTGGCATAGCACACCGTAGGTGACATCTGCACAGCCCCTTGCTGGGTCATTTGTGAACGACAAACACATGACATAAGCACATGTAATAAGGGAACTGTTTTGTGACGTTATTACACCTCCCTTCACAAACCTCTCCAGCACAGACACTAGAAATGAAGAGCTGGAAAAGAAGGCGAGGTGTTAGGAGAGGGGAAGCCCAAGCTGCCAGCAGAAACAGCTCCATTCAAGGGGAAGCAGAAAGCCTACATTTGGACAAGGATGTGCTTTTACATGATGCTCTCTGTCTATGGCCAAAGAAACCACCGTAAATTTGTGACTGTGCTCCCAAAACCAAACAGGCAGACAAGGAGCACTACAACTGAACAGGCTGGTGGGAAACAACCCAGATCTGCCAGGGAATCACATCCCAAGGCACCGAGGGGTTATGCAGCTTATGCAGTTAAGGCAGTTACATACAAAAAGCCTTTGGATAAACTGAGAACTGAATTCAAAACTCTTTTATCTCTTTCCTCTGCTTTGATAAGGTTTCAACTCGAACATTACTACTTTTTGTCAAAATTATCTTGACCTGTGACAGGCAACACCTAACCCTTGACATTTTTATCCTCTTGCCAATCTAACACAGGAATTTAATAGGAATTCAAATTTTTAAAAAATCGTTTCAAACACCCATGTGTCCTGTTCTTCTGATGCCATGCACATACTGCGCCTGTGCATAATCTTCCTCCTGCCAGCCTTCTGCATCAGGTCAACAACAACAACAAAGACAAATGAAGCTGCTATTCATAAGCTTTTTGTTATCTCAAGGAAGAAGCAAAAGGGATCAGAGCATGTGTGAGAAGGAAAAACATTTGTTTAGTTTAATCATGTTTACTTCTTTCAAGTCTAAGTAAACTCAGGGATCAGCAGA